CCCCAAAACCCCAAAACCCCAAAACCCCAAAACCCCATGAAAGTTTATTTCTTAATGATTTGAATAATTTAAAATCAATATAATCAATAAAATAGGGCTAGAAAGAAATGAGTGTAGGAATCGACACATTGGAAAGAGTCAAGTCTCAGCTTAAAGAACTAAAGGATCTAGGCAACAACGTCAATCTAGACCTCTACCAACACTTGACTGAGGTCTTCAATAGGATTATGCTCCACCATCAGCAAGATGGATATCAAAGATTCGAAGAGATCTCACATCTAGTTAAATAAACTCATTTGAAAATAAAAGACCCAGCATATGATTATGAAGTAAATGCTCAACAATCCGAATAAAACGATCCTCAAAGAGCTCAATGGATCTAAAAGAGCAAAAATCTGTTGAAGGAGGTATGTTTATTCTATCAATATTTTTATCTCCTTAAAAAGGATAAACAAATATATTAATTGAAACGTATAGATCGTAGATCAACTTCCAAGAGATGAGAGAGATCTTCTAACTAAAGATAAAACTTTCATTATTCCAAATATTCCAGAAGAGCAAAGAATGTTTGAATGGGCTGGAATCGTTTTTGGTGAAGAATTAACTGCAAAGTTGACCAAAGCTATAAAGAGATTAGCAGTTTTAAGTGGTGCCTCTTAATTAAGATTCTGGGGTAAAGTCTATGGCATTCAAAAGGACTACTGGGTTGCTGAAGGAATTCTTGACACTCAAGAAGAAGGAAAACAAAGCATGAACTAAGAAAAAAGAGGAGAAGGTATCAATAAATTAGTTTATTGGGTAAATGATAACTTACTTGAGGATTGGGTTCAATTACCAGATTTACTACCTGAGCATGTTCAGGTTGCAAGGATGATGAAGCATGTTTTGACTGGAAACTTAAATGCTCAAATTGACTCTTGCCCACCCTTCCCAGGCAAAGAAAGACACTATCTTAGAGCTTAGATTGGCAGAATTTCTCATGCAACAACAATTGTTCCAAAAGATTTGTGGTCTGTAGACGAGGAGACCACAAAAGATAAAGCTTCTGAGGAATTCACAATGCCAGGAACTGAAGAATTAAAAAATCTAGAGGGCTGGTGCCATCTTCATCCAATAATTTTAAAGGCTGGCAGAGTTAGTCATTTTGCAGGTGAAGGTTTGGCTGACGAGGAGAGAGATGAAATTTTGGCTAAACTAAATGAAAAAGATCCAGCAGGTGAAAGATTCAAAGCCATCAATGACGATGCAGCAGTAGAGGGCTATAAATCAGCTTGGATCTCTAAGGTTATTGGAGATGCTTAACCATTTGCTCAAGCACCACCAAAAGAAGGAACAACTACTTATGCTGCTAATGTCTTAAAATCTTTGAGATGGCCTGGAGCTGTGACTGTTGCCCAGAATGGAAAATTCCAGTCAATTTATGTCGGCTACGGATAAAAAAGAGGAGATGTCTGCTTTAACCCAACTGAACCACCCGAAGTACAAAAAGACCCAATCGATCAAACAGAGCAGCCAGAGGTAACATATCATTTTATTTTTATTGTTTTTAGCCAACTCCACTTCATGCTCCAAAGGTAGTCCCAGTTTAATAAGAGGAGGTTAAGCCAGAAGAGGACGAGGAATGATAATTTTGCATAGATAGATTTATTAAGAGCATAATAATTATACCATGTTAAAATATCACTTCAAGTTTTTCCTTATTTAAGAAACTAATATTTTATCTCTATTTTTAGACAATTAAGATTTCAATAATGTTTTGTTCAAATTCCTTGTTATTGATGTTCATTCAGAAAAGTTGATGCCTACTGATCACTAGCTGATCTCTACCTCTTCTTTAGTCATAAAACCAAGCTCCTTTTTGCTGGCAGTAGCCTATATTAATAAATATTATTAATTAATTACCCATTTGGACAATCTGTCTATAACCTATTACTCGATTCCCTCTGGACCAACTACGTATAACTTCTTCTCTTGTACATTTGGTTCAAACGAAACAATATCTAGGAAAATGAACTAATTAATTTACAAGTTTCAGTTCCGAGAAGCTTATTAATTGCATTTTTACAGCCATTGCATGACATACCAACGTTAAATTCATATCTGTATGTTTTTGAAGTAGTTCCCTCCATTCTTTATGACTGGTATCAATAATCTATTTTATTATAATTTCTTGAAATAATCTGTTTTGAATCCACATTGATCTCAGGGGTTTTGGGGTTTTGGGGTTTTGGGG